CATGGGCTTGGACCGCAAGCAACGTTTCTTCTGCTCTCATTGGATTCGTGATCGCGCTTGATCAGATGAGACCTCCAACACGGTATCGCCCAGTCCACTGCGCAAAGGTATCCCGCTGTGCGGTCGTTGGACCAGTGAGGCGGTCATTGGGCCAGTGAAGCGGTCGGTCGATAACGTATAGTATGCAAAGAGAGGGCAGCGTGTGCACACACTGTACCCTTCCAAGAGAGCCGTATCGGACGCGTGTCGTGCGGCATCCTGCACTTGGTCGATAGCTGAGCATCCAGAACGGCCCAAACTGCTGGTGATGGGCCGAGAGAAGGAGGTGGTGAAGAAAGGGTTACGTCATGGCCGGCTCGCACGATAAACACAACTCTATGGAATTGCGGCGCGTTTCAATCTCGTGCATCGTCGTGTGTGCCACAAGACTCGGAGCAGTCCCCTTGAAGCCCCAGAATTTGGGGTCAACACTGTGGTTTTCTTCTTCTTTTTCGTCGAGATCATGCTTTGCTCGACGGATGGGGCTTCCTACCCCTTGAGTCAGCATTCCACCGAGGTCGACTTTTCGTTCCGGGCACGAACCGAGACAAGACAGCCTCGAGCGTTCAAGCATTATCTGACGTCACCAGCGCTTCATCCAATGCCCCAGCCTAGCGCCAGCTTGTCCAGTGCCTCTTTGCCCGCTGTCAGCATTTCTGGGAGGTTCAACACCTGAAGCACCATGTAGGCATCTGCGATCGCGGCCATGCGGTTCGAAACACTCTGTGCACAGCTTGCTCGATTCACGTGGAGTCGTGTCACGATGGAGGGGGAGCGGGACCGTTACTTCAAATGGAGAACCGGGTTGAGCATCGAAATCGTATCATCCCAAGAGGCGCAACGGAGGCTGGCGCCGACGGTGGGAAGGATCGTGCTCTGACGCAATCTGTGAGGCGACCACTCACAAAGAGGGTGTCGATGGCGTTCCCATCTGCACGATCCACTAGGTACTGGCAGACGGGCGGGGGTGAACAAGGAGGGAGTCGCACTGTGGGAACGGTCGAGGCTGGTGGTGATCCGCAGCGCACCCTGTGCAGAGACCTTCAGCCGTATCATGCGCCAACAAACAGGAAGGATTAGAAATCCAGATCCAGATCAGGCTGGCACAGGCTGGGCCACCCATTCGGTGAGCCTGGACCGCGTTCGCGACATGGACACGGTGAGAAGTCGCGTGTGTGGATCCCGAGTATCGACTTGTCGAGCGCAGGCAGGATCGGAACAGAGGCTTCATTGGAAGAAACTAAAATTCATCCCGGAAGCCAGACCGTATCGGAGACCAGGGGGCCCGACGAGGAAACCCGCTGAAAGAAGAAACCTCTTGGTCGATCACTGTCGCCCCGGCTGGGTGATCCGCCAGCGACGGGACGGGCGTGTGAGACTGCTGCTGGCCCGGCCAGTCTGGTCCGCCGGGAAGGTTTTTTCTTTCCTTTCTTTCACTTAGACATGCCATGACTCTGAGTGGCTCGAGGGCTCAAGGGCTCAAGGACTCGGGGGGCGTCTCTTCAAAACCGTCTCGCCTGAGACGCGATGTTGCTGGCTGAACGGTGCATTTGCCGCAAACAGAGATCAACAGCATCAGCGCCCGGGGGAAGTTTGCTGGAAGGGAAGGAGTCGCCTTCTCGAACCGAGTCGTTACCGGTACATGTACATGAGGGGCCCAACAGGTGGGCGGTGACGGTCGAGTGAGGTGGTGGTGAAATTAGCAAGAGGTGATGCAATCCATGCAGGGGTCGCTGACTGT